ACTCATTTCACCTTCACTAAAATCACTCATATGGCCAACATTACATATAATGGTATCATCTTGGCACAAGTGCCTTTGTTTATAACAGAACATATAGCAGACAAGTTATTGCAATGCTCACAATGCTCATTTGATCCCTTCTACGGGCATGCAAGCAAAACATGTGTGCACTCCAATGTTTGTAGTTCACTGGATCCCTCGAGGGTTTCCCCGGAACGCTTCTTTATAAGTTCCATGCCTCAACTCAACTATTACCCACTACATACTACATTGCTTGACAGACACATTATCATTGCACTTATCTCATGTAGACATCCAATATCTACTGATGCCATCAATTGCTCAAGTCCTTCATGGGATGACCACTTCCCTGGTTTCCCACAGAGGCTGTGCACATGTTAATATCAAGCCAATATCCACATGGTGGGGTTGTCCAGGCTAATGCATACTGATGAAGCTCCTACTTTAGCAAAATGCATCGATTTGACGGACAAGCATGAACGACACCCTTCCAAGCAATCCGCAGCATCTTAATATTCAGCCATAATTCACATGACGGGGGTGTCCAGGCTGCTGCGTCACATCAATGCGTTTTGCTCAAGTAGCAGCTTCATCAGAATGCATCAGCCTGGACAACCTCACCATGTGGAATATGGCTTGATACTAAGATGTGCACAGCCTCTGTGAGAAACCAGGGAAGTGGTCATCCCATGAAGAACATCAGCAATTGATGCTGGCTGCCTACATGAGATAAGTCTAATGATGATGTGTCTATCATGCTATGTAGTGGGTAATGCTCAGGCTGAGTCGCGGAACTTATAGAGAAGAGCTTCGGAGCAGCCCTTGAGGGACTCAGTGAACTGCAAACATTGAAGCTCACGCAAGATTTGCTTTGCATGCCCATAGAAGGGATCAAATGAGCATTGCAATAACTTGTCTGCTATATGTTCTGTTATACAGATATGTCATGATTGGCACAATCTTGTTAAAAGATGATAAGACCTTGACTTGCTTATAGTGTTGTATTAAGTTTATTTAGAGGGTAACTCCATCTTTCTGACCATCTAAAAACAATATTGTGCCGAGCTAATAATCATACATATCTAATAAATTGAAACATATATAAGTGAGTCTGAATGTGTTACATTACTCCAAAATTAGTATGTTCCTCCCTCTATTAATGCGTGTGAATGTATGTGGGGGGTACCCCGGGTTCGTTTGGTTTATAAAGGACAGGTCTGCCAGTTTTATAGTGGGAGGTTTATATTTCTTCTTTTTGAGGATTTTGGATAATACTGAGTAATTTTTGTATAATAAAACATATATATATAATCTAAATCAACAGATACTTTTACTTTTGGCTGTGTGTAAGTATCACAGTTCATTTAACAGCCTCTGTTGAACAGCTGCTGAGATAAAACTAATCACAGAATAGGTCGATAAGCCACAAAGGGAGTATACTATAGTTAATTAATCATATTAAACCCAACATCCTTCCATCACGTTAAAGGTAGCAGTCAAGCAAATCACTGAGCTGGAAGTTCATCTTGTATTTGTAACAGGTTGTACTTATTTTCAGTGAAACGCTGATGTTGAGATCCAGATACAAATTCTTATGCTTTGTAGAATTACAAATTATATATTATAACAAAGCTTTTAAAACACCAATTGCTCACACAGATATTATTCATAATAAGCGGATTATATATCTGCTAAGTAACAATGAGTTTAGTATTTAATTCTGCAGGGTACGGTATGCAAATTATGACCTGGGCAAAAGGGAACACCATGGCACACCTACAGTGCATCTCACAATGCACAGCATGAGCTCAGCAACCTGCTGAGAAGAACCCCCTTACCTAATTCATTCTGGAATGCCCTGGGATTGTTCCTTAAGGCCTTGTTCACACCAAGCGCGGAGCAGGTGCAGAGCAGAGTAGTTGCAGACCGGATCAAAACTGCCTCCAATGTATTGCAATGGTATTTTTTGCTCCAGTTCACATCGCAGCGTGCAGTTCCAGAGCAGCTCCAGAGCAGGTGAAAAAACTGCAGCAGGCCCTATTTTACCTGCTCTGGATCTGCTCTGGATCTGCAAACGCATCAAAAACGCATGCAAATGCCTGGAACGCACTGAAAGCCCATGTTAAACAAAAAAACAAAAAACGGCCCGGAACGCATAAAAAACGCGGCACAACCCACTGCACTACGTGTGCAGAAACCTGAGCGGATCTGCTCTGTATTTGGTGTGAACAAGGCCTAACTTCAGGAATTAATAATGTATCCCTCGCAGTGGGACTACCCCCCCCCCTCCCCTAGCAAGGGTTAACTGCTCTTTTTTCTTTCCCTCTCTCCCTCTCTACTACAGCTGTGGTATGTCCCTCGGCATCCTCATGTCCAATACAGGTGAATGGTTTGTACAGACGTGATGATGTCAAGGGTCCTTAGACTGCTAGAGCCCAGGGGAGAAGAGGCTGCAGGGACCATTCCTGCAGCCAGGTGGGACCGAGCATCAGGTGAATACCGTATTTTTCGCTCCATAAGACGCACTTTTTTCCCCCCAAAAGGAGGGGGAAAAAGTGCCTGCGTCTTATGGAGCGAATCCCGACGCCCGAGACATGCAGTTTCGGGCGCCGGGCGAGTAGTAGGAGCCACTGCTCGTTTAATACGAGTGATCTAATGAGATCACTCGTATTAAAGCCGAGCAGCGGCGGCGGCGATCGAGTACAGCAGCAGGAGCCACTGCTCGTTTAATACGAGTGATCTAATGAGATCACTCGTATTAAAACCGAGCAGCGGCGACGATCGAGATAACCATAGAGCAGACGAAGAATAGACGTTCTTCGCCTGCTCTGTGTCATCACTGAGACCGTGGCGCTGTAATCACAGCGCCACCTGTCTCAGCGGTCACTAACTGCAGCTTCTGTCACAGCTTCTGTCATAGAAGCTGTGACAGAAGCTACAGTCTCGAGTGCTCCATAAGGCGCGCCGGACCTCCCTGCGTCCTATGGTCCGGTGCGTCTTATGGACCGCAAAATACAGTATATCTTTTTTTATTCTACACCCTAGACCAAAATGAGCACTTACCCTTGCAGTGTGGGGTAGCTTCACTGCAAAGATTAACTTTTTAGATTCCTTTTTAGAAACCTGGAAGTTTTACACAGTAGCACCCAACTTTTGGGGGCCTCACAGCAACCAATCAGCAGGTAGGTCCTTTGTTCTCATGCCCAAGGTTGGCTTTGTGTGTTATGCCTGATGAATGGTTTGTTGCAAAGTGCATCTAAAACCCAAACTTTTTTTTTTTCAATTTCGGATTGTATCTCTGTCTATGCCACAGCTAGGGAGATTTGCTCCCCTAATTTGTCCCAGTGACCCCCCTCATCAAGAAAGAAAGTGATGGGAAATGCTACACTTTAAGTTGCCACCAAAACAGGAACTGGGGGGAGATCTTCCAATGGGGACACTTGTTCCTGTGACTCCTGAGTTTAGAGAACTCTTATTCCCTTTTGGGTCTACAGGATGGAAAGCAAAAGAAACCCTCCC